TGGAGTTGGAGGAAGGTAGCAGCTGACAGCAAAGATGGGAAGCAAGCCTTTGGGTAGTAACGAAGCATTAGATTGGGTCAGTGCCTGTAGCATCACTGTTACTGTTCAGAATTTTTCAGACAGTAGCCATGTGATCTTATGGATTTTCAGGAATTTATTCCAGATGCTATGCAGGCACCCATCTTTTAATTCCAGTGGTGTTGCACTCTCCTTAGAACTTATGGCTTCCTACTGATTAATTCAACAGATGAGACGCTTGGAAGATCTCTCACAGAAATGAATCTTCAGCCAAATAGCATTTGTTTTTCCCCAGAGACATCACATCATCATTTCTACTGTCTGGGAAGTAGTATCCTCCTGTTTTACTTTTTATAACCTTTGGCAGATTTATCTCACGATATACCCAGATCATGCTGTAGAAAGCCAGAGAGCTGTCTCAGCAAAACTTTTCCATATATTATTTCATGCATGTCTTTGGAGCTTTTTAGGCACAAACTTCCTGCTGATTTGTGCCTTCACAACTTCTAGGAATACTTGGTAAGAGGTAATGTGGATTTTGAGTGATAGAAAGGCATGAGAATGACATGAGTAGACTATATAGGTTAATTGCACAAGTTGACTTAACTCTGCTCACCTTAAACAGAAGGTTGCCAGTTTTGTGCTGGCACTGTAATCAGGGTCAGGAGTGAGGAGAAGCTGCGTTTGGTAGAAGTAACTAATTGCCATAAAATAAATTACTTTCCAGTTTTGTTTCAGAGAACAAAGATATTTCCCACTGTACTTTATCGTACAAGTAATTTCTCTTATTGTTTTACAATTTTTGACTACCATCAGCATAAAGCTTAATAAGCTTTATGTAAAGTACTCTCCCTGCTCATTTATTGCTTTTGCTAAAGAGTCCTTCTCTGACTTGTATTTTTCTACTATTTAGTAGCAAGCAGGTTTCTACTCATTGTTGAAACAGCTCTTCATTATTTAATTTCACCAGCAATGAATTTTGGTGGAGAAAAATGCAATGGAAGCTCTGCAGAGAAGGACCTAGGTGTTCTGGTGGACGTCAGGTTAACCATGAGCAAGCAGTGTGCCCTTATGGCCAAGAGGGCCAGTGGTATCATGTGGTGCATTAAAAAAAAAAAGTATGACTGGCAAATTGAGGAGGTGATTCTTCCTCTCTACTTAGTCCTGGCTAAGCCACATTTAGAATACTGTGTCCAGTTCTGGGCTCCTCAGTTCAAGAAAGACAGAGATCTCTTAGAAGGAGTCCAGCAGAAGGCCACAAAGATGATTAGGGGCCTGGAGCATCTGCTGTGTGAGGAAAGACTGAATAACCTGGGTCTGTTCAGCCTGCGAAAAAGCAGACTGAGGGGGGATCTGGTTAATGCTTATAAATATCTAAAAGGAGATGGAGGCAAATGGATGAGGCTGAGCTCTTCATGGTGATGAGTAGTGATAGGGCAAGGAGCAATGGAGCCTAAACATAGGAAATTCCATACAAACATGCAGAAGAACATCTTTCTGGTAAGAGTGATAGAACACTGAAGCCATTGAAAAAGGTGGCCCAGAGAGGCTGTGGAATCTCCTTCTGTAGAGATATTCAAGACTCATCTGGATGCCTACCTGTGTGACCTATTGTAGGGAACTTGCTTTGGCACTGGGGTTGGACTCAGTGACCTCTTGAGGTCCCTTCCAACCCCTGTGATTCTGTGAGTTCCAGTGAGGGATAATCTGTGAATGCACTGCTGATCTCTTACAACTTTTCTACTGCATTGTTTACTGTTTTCATACCTCTGTTTTTTCCTCATTTATTTTCGTTCCATACCTGTTATTTTGGAATGAGCTAGAATAATTCTTTTCTTCAAAACATAATTGCTCTGATTAAATTTGTCTTCATATTATATGACTTGTAAGTAATTTTTAGAGAAGAATATATTGCTAGAAAATACACGCTGGTGCAGTTAAATTGAAAGTTCAAAGTAAGGATCATGTAACTGAAAAATATGAAAGGTGTCTGAAAGGGAGGATATGTTTATTCATGTCTTTACTAGGTTCCATGAGATATTGTTCTCATTACTGTTCATGTTTTTTGAAGGAGAAAAGCTTTTCTAAAACAGTTGCTGTGCTAACTAAATTTCTAAAGAACAGTTTTTATCAGCTTTTCTTAATAATAATAAGAACAGAGCTGATTAAATGATGTTAAAAGGAGGTAGCAAATGGTACTAGTGCATATTTTAAGAAGTGGTTTCTTGAAAAATGGCACCAACATTTTCATAATTTCCTTATAGTGGTTTATCCTGTATGATGGAATTCACAGACTGCTCACTGTATTATGGATGCAATGAAAATTGACTATGATTGGAAATTTAGTTCTAACATTTCTGTTTAATTGCACTTTAAAGCAAAAAAAAACTCATTGAACAAAATTCTTTATTCTTTAGAGACCTGTACAACTTTAAGAAACACTTAAATGAGTGCAGTTATTAGGAAGAATAATCGGTTTAACTTTCTACCCCCTGGTCTCAGTTATTGTCCCAGAAGAAAAGGCAAAATGTTAAAGCTATGAAATAACATTAAAATGCCATTTAATTTGTCAAGGGAAACACTGTTTTTTTTTTTTTTCTCAGATAAAAAGACTTGAATAAAAGCTTTTTCCTCTGTAGTGCTTGCAGACTTTCAAGTAAATGGAGAAGATGGTTGCTAGCAGCAGGTGACACCAGATGCACAGCTGCCTAGGGATGTGTGTGATGTTTGCAGGAGACAGGTCTTACTGTCTTGCCTTGAGGCATTAGGTTGAGTCTGTTAGACCATGTAAGTAGTGATTTTTTTCCTCTGCTAGTGGAGTGTCACATTGTGGGATGTGACATTTTTAGGTAATGCATGAGGTAGATTTTTTTTTTTTAACTTAGAAGTAGGTGACCTCTATTGAAGTTTTTTCAGAAACCTTAAATATTTACCACTGAAATAAAAAGATGGCTGTTTTTAGAGAAAAACCACTAGATTGCTTGCTTGAGAAACATGCTAAATTAGCATTTCATTCTAGTTTTCTTCCTTGATAAAATTTCTGTGGATACATTGAAAGATTTGCATTTATATTGAATATCATAGCATGCAAGTAGAGGATCAGTGAGACTCTGTGTGATGAATATCTGAAATTTCCTGAAATTTTCTTTTTAAAGAAAACGGATAATTTTATAGATACGTTTACTGCATTTATATTAGATGCAAGGTAATAGGTGTCATACATTTTCATGTTAATTCACACTTATCTGTTTATAGTTTATAGGATATTTAATTTGTTCCTTTGAAATACCTCATTTTTAGTGCAGCTGCTAACACAAGACATTTGGTAAGATAACCTGTGATCTATATTATTACGGTTCCTGTATTCGTATGAGATTTCTTTTTTCGTCTGAGTTATAATTTGTAAATAAAATTTTCCATATTATGATTAGAAAGTGAAAATTGTGACTCAGTAGCATAACTATTTGTAGTACCAGTCCAGCTTTTAATTTTTTCCTTCATTAAATTAGCATCTGCTGGAGATTTCCAGGTATTCAGTGTGGAATCTTTGTTGTGTGTTTTGAACATCACTTTCTCTGCTGCATTCAGCTTGCAGGCTGCTCAAACAAGCCCAAGAGTATGCAGTCATGTAAGGAATTGAGTATTTTGAATAGGAGAGTTTTTCTGAAAAATGCTATGATAGGACTTAGACTATTTTAACAATAAACATTAATTAGTTTACATATTGCTGGAGAAAACTGGGTTTAAGAGATTCCAGTTAGGCAGAAATCTGGCAGGTTGTGATAAGACACGCGACTATGAATGGCAGTTCTTGGAGCAATTGACATGTCAGACCTAGCCAACCTGCTAAAATTATTCACTTCTCTTCTTTACTGTTTTGCACATTATTCTAAAATCACAGAATAGTGTGAATTGGAGGGGACCTTAAAGATTATCTGGCACCAACCCCACCTGTCAGGTTTCCCAAAGCCCCATCTAACCTGGCCTCGAATACCCCCAGGGATGAGGCATACACAGCACTTCTGGGTACCTATTTCAGTTCCTCACCACCTTCTGAGTAAAGATTTTCTTTCTGATATCTAATCTAAATCTACCCTCTTTCAGCTTAATGCTGTTACCCCTTATCCTGTCACAGCACTCCCTGATAAAGAGTCCCGTTGTGATTTTTCCACACCACAGCTCCAAGCAGTCAGCCCTTCCTATTACATAGAGATCAACTCGACCACCTCTTCTCCCTTGTATCAGTTGTTATGAGTCATCCCACCACATTTCTGTGATAGCAATTATCATGCAGGTGGAAAACTACAATATGACTTCCAGCTCCTCCAGTTTGTTGCCCATGCTGTGTGGTGCATCATTAAAGAACTGCTTCACTGTGGCTGCTGGTCCTGCTACCTTTTGGGAGGAGGAAGCCCTAATCCCCACGTGGTATTTCTGAAGTGTTTTCTTGATTTCAAATGCATCAGCAGCACATGAGTCTTTGCTGCTCAGATCTCCATCCTGTGCCCCCACAAATCCTAGTTTAATGCTCTCCCTGTAATTCTGGTCAACTTATTGGCAAAGATGCTCTGAACTAGTGGGTCCTATCTGCAAAGAATATCACTTGTATTCTGTGTGGCTTCTCTTGAGTCGCACTCAACATCTCTCTCCCATCTTACTCGATAAGATTCTTTGTTGTCATTGTGGCAATTATAAAGTACCTCTGATTAGGCCTTTTGAAATGGTACTGCTGTCCAGGGGTACGTGCTAATGCTCTCTGTAGATACTCCACAAACTGACCAGTGTTGTATCATAAACCATGGTGTAGAGTTCTTTTGTTGTAGTGTTTTGTTTCTGAGGTTCACATACATACAAATTCTGATTTGAGAATGTTTTCGTTGTGATTGCTTTCTTGTTGCAAGCACAATATGTTTGTTAAAAACTGAAAATTACTGAAAATTAGTTTTCAAAATCTTAACGTGCAGCCTGTCTTTTTTCTTTAGGAAAGCCCAAGAGGCGAACAAGAAAGTGGTTCTAGCAGGCTGTGTTCCACAGGCCCAACCTCGTCAGGATTACCTCAAAGGCTTGAGTATTATAGGGGTATGTATCTTTATTGATTAGAAACAGAAGGTTTTGGTAAACGTTTTCATAGGCCAATAGCATTAGTATAAATTTAGTTGACTGGTTGACTTTCTCCTCAAAAAAGCAGTAGAGAAACTTAGTACCTCTGGTTGTCTGCTTTCTTTATAAAGCACTTAAGCCTTTTTACACCCACCGTTATTTGCTCTGGTTGTGGCTGAGGGGTCACAGGAAATGAGTTTCAGTGCCATTTGTAGCTGTGAGGGAGGTGAAAACAGCCATTGGTACGTTGTTTAAAATATCACAGTTTATTTGCATTAAGATATAAAAAAAAATACACCCTTTAGTAAAATCAGTGAAAGACTGACAAAGGACTTGAGCAGATGTCACACAGGCACAGCTGAAGATTTGATGTTTTTGTGTTTTTTTTTTCTTTTTTATTTCTTTTTACGTCATTCTTTTAAGCAGAATGACAAAAGAAAATGATCATTCTGTTTAAATTTGCGTCAATCTGAAGAGTTAAATCCACCAATGACTGAGTTGTTAGACAGTAAACAAGTTCTGCCTTGAAAAAATAACCTCTGTAGGATCTTCCTGAAAATCAGGGAGATGAAGCACAAGTTAGAAAAGATTTTTCATTGTTTAAGGCTTTAAATCAAAACTAGATTAATTCGTAAAAGGCATGTTTGAGTTGGAACACTGTCATTGGATTCAGTGTGTGAATTATAGAGTGAAGTTGTCCTTTATTATGTTAAATTAGAGTAGATGATTGTACATCATCCTTCATGTACTAAGAACATGGAAAGGTCAACGTGTTTCCTCTTCAGTGTGAAGAAATCTGCTAGGAGCTAAGATTTTAAAGGAACAGCAACAAAACATTCCAAAGAATTCACTTTCATCGCTCAAAATGTTGCATCTTTTTTTTTTTTCTTCCAGCTGCATTTTTAGATATGTTATTGCCTATAAATTAATTCACTGCACAGAAATGATACTCAAGGTGTGTAAAATGGTACACTGATGTATACATATGACAATGTATTGATAATTGCAGTTCAGAGGAAGAAACAACATGTCCATGGCACTATGTGCAAGAAAACTGTGGTGCTTTTTTTTATTTCTAAGATACCAACTTACTCTATGCAGCAGGATGGGAAAGGAAAATAAAAAGGTGAATGGTTTTTATGGGATTTTGTGGCCATTACAATGAACGTGAAGATACCTACGTGTATGAAGACAGAGATAAAAAGTATCTTACCTGGCTATAAAATGAATGTGTCATGATCCTTTGGCCTGGACTGTGATTCCATGCATCAGGTGAAGAACAAATGTTGTTTTACTATGGGCAATTATGATGCTTATGTTTGGTCTCAGGGTGTTCACAAGCAGTTGAGTCCAGATAGTGATTGCATCTGCAGCAGCCTCTCACTATGCAGGCAAAGTACTACTGGCCCCCTTCCCATGGCCTGTTCTCATCCTCATCCGTATTTTCTTTTTATCACCTGCTCTCTTCTGAGGTAGAAAAAGTTGAAGTCTGATATTAAGAGGTATTTTCTGAAGGAATTGAAATGCTTACTTTGGAGGATTTAATCCTCTTAAAATGGGACCAAAAGAGTTGTCATGTAAAAGGCACTGGCATTACTCCCAAAAGCATCAGCACTCTAACATCTGGCAGGGAGCAACATGCTTCTGCTGTAAATATGTGTCCTGCAGCCAACTCCTTCCAAAGTTAATTTTGGATTCTACTAAGAGGTGAGAATATGAATACCCTTTCATTTATCGTGGAGATTGCTAGGAAGCCTTAAGCATTCCCATCTCTTTTGCAGTACATAGTTGGGCCAGATGATTCTGCAGCTTCTTTCGTGGTGCAGCATGGACCAAACAGTGTTTCTGTGGTGCTTGAGATGCCCACGTCGCAGACTCCATTAAAAGGCAGTGTGTGTCTCAGAAAGTATTGGACTTTCATGAATTGCTTTTTCTAACTACCACTCTATTTTTTAATAGCTGCAGCCTCTGAGAAAAGTGCAATGAGGCGTTCAGGAAAGACCCTTGTAAGGGACATCTGAAGATCATTTCTCCTGGTCCTATAACTTCAGAAGGAGATTGGTTTAAATCTATTGACTCACGAAATGCTTTTATCCTTAATTTAATGAGCCTATTAAACTGAAAAAAAGTCTTTATTGTACTAAGTCTTGAACAAGGTCCAAGTGCTTTGTTTTCCCACATGACAGTGCAGTGTCTTCGCATGCTCTTGGTGCTTTCTTGAAAAGACTGTTGGAAAGGGTTTCTCTAATCTGCTTGTTAGGTTCCTGGTTGCACTTTTCTAGATAGTGTTGTTCTGATATTCGCTGATTTCTGTCTAGTACAGAACAGCTGCTAAATATGCAGCCTCTCACTTAACTACCTGTTAAGTGTATTTGGAGATTACTGGATCTTTTTTTTTATTCCAGTTTGTCTTGCAAAACAGTCTCACGGTGCTAATACTGCTTGTGAGACCACTCAGATCATGCTTGGAAGAATTTGCGTGACCATCCTCAAAGACGCGTCTGCCTGCACTCACAAATCACGTAATGCGAGATTGCAGACGCAGCGCATTACAAGCATGTCTTTGAGCTGTTTACATCTAGCAGTCATCTGTTGAATGTGATAATGACAGTACAAAGGGAGCTGGGAGACTTTCTCTGATGACAGACAGACAGTGTGTAGGTTTGTGTAGTCTCCTAGCTAATTGCTGGGGCTCAGTCAGAGAGTTTGGGTATTGTCTCCCAGAAGCACAGGGGTAAATTGAGAGGTGAGTGGTTTGGAATGTGACTGGTTTGTGTTTGAGAGTTCAGCAGCAGTCCGTAGCTTCAGCCCTAGTACGGATCACCTCGTGTTTTCCTTTTGACCCTGAGAGTTGTGTAAATGTAATTTCTGAGCTGTACTAATGCCTAACTTAGATTGCATGAGAAAGGCTCAAAGATTTTTCCTGATTTTTGTTTCAACTCTGGCATCGTGCTTTATTATAACACTCTTCTTTGCTTTTTCTCTGGCTGGTTTCCTGCTTTGGCTACCTCTTCATCCCTTGGGCCCTACCCCTGCCTCTGTTCTATATCCAGCTCAGCCCAGATTTCTGCATCTGTCTTTGTTCCCCCTGTATTCCTGCTCAGCTCTCTGCTCCGGTCAGTCTTTAGCTTTTGTTCTACTCAAATCCTAATGGAGAACTGTATATAATGGGCAAAAAGTCCTTTGTGTGGATGCCTACACTAGAAAAAGAAGGTGCAGTTTGCAGAGATAGATGTAGTGCCATATCCAGCACTATGCTACAGTGTGCTAGGTCCAGCAGTGAGGTACCTTTTTGTCAGCACTGATGGTTCAGATTGTTTGAACTCACTGCAAAGAAATGTTGAGGAGTGGTGTCTGTGTCCTTCATGCATCAAGAAGAGCTTTGTCTCCATGCTTCTTAATGCCTGTTGGAGACATGATTAAGTCTCTGCTCAGGAAGGTTTATGGATACTTTTGCTGCCATTCATTTCTGAAGAGAGTGCTCTGTAAGATCAGTGAGATGTGGAGATGTGGCTATGGCTGTCTGTATAGCCAAAGAAATTCACTACTTTGTGGTGTTTCCTTTTTCTTCATTTTCCTGTTGTGTTTTTTTTTTTTTTCTTTTTTTCCTCCCAAATAGGATTGCCCAAAACACTTTCCTTTTCTCACTCCACTTTTACTGAGATATTTTACATGAAGTTTGGAAGCATTGATTATTTTCATTTTTAGCACTTGAGCACTTTGACCAAACAGTTTCCAGTAATTTCAAATGAAAAATGCGTAATGTGGGAAATAACACATGAGGCAGAATAAGCATCCATTCCTGGTTGCAGTTCTTATTATCTCCAAGATGAATAATTTTAATTACTTTCATGAAGTGTCTTCCTGACAGGCACATTGAGAATAATTTCATTTATCCAATAAAATGAAAGTACAACACACCGTTTTTCCCTGTCGTTATTTAACAGGGCATTCAGGGCCATGCAAAAATTCCCCAGGTCTATAATACAGAAAGTAATTATAGAGCTGGTTCAGATTTTGAACCATTGAGATCTCTTTTGTTTTACAATGATTGTGAACTTCAACAGCTTAGGATCAAGATGTGACAGTAGTATTTTAGGCAGTGTATTTGGCAGAGACTGTTATATATCTATGCTTATAATTGTAAATGTATACGGTTCTGCTTTTAAGTTGCTCTTTTAAGATTAAACATAAAAATCTATCTGCAAGTGTCTTAGATTATATTAAAAAAAAAACAAAAACTGAAACAACTTGCGTCTGTAATCTGTATATCTAAAAGGGATGTAGTGGGTTGCTCCAAAAGTAATGCCTCCTGTTTATTTTTATGGAAACTACAACAGACACAAAGATCACAATAACACTGTTCGGTAGAGAAAATTCTCAGCTACAAAAACACTATTTTTCAACACAGTTACCAGCAATAGATACGCATTTTTGCCATTAATGAATAAAAGCCTGTATGCTGTGCATATAAAAGTCTGCACCAGGGGAAGTGACCCAATGTTGCTGTTGCTACTGCTGAAATGTACCACCACCTCACTGCCTGCCATGCCACTGACATCTGCCTCAGATATTGTGGGCCAGCATAATAAAATAGAAGGTATTGCTTTTAGAGCAGCCTTCATATATACAAGTATGGAATTATGTGCAAGTTCCACGTAAATGCTTGTATGTGCTTTATTTATGAAGGCGTTTATATAAAGGTATGTCCATAATATGAATGCTTGCAATTCAGAAAAGGATGTAAATATACGTAGTACATAAGAACATTAAAATGCCAATATTAGTGATATTTTGAATAACTGAATTTTTAGAATTCATAATCAATGTATTATATTGATTATACATCTCTGAAGTGGCAGAGATTTGTGTCTTGAAAAGACTGTATTTCAAAAGAAAAACAAAAAATTTAGCATGGACTTGATCTAACACCCAGACAAGAAAAGGAATAGACTCCCCCTGACTTCCATGTGGAACTCTGGATGACAGCAACTACAGATGATCTTTTTTTAAGCAGGCTGAATGGAAAATAGATGTGAAATAGAGATGTTTGTGCAGGCATTTGTTTACAGAAAATGACAAGCACAGTGCTGTATGGGCACAGAGACTTAGTAGCTTTGATGATGCAAGTTACACAAGTTTCAAATAACTTTGCTGAAGACCAGGTTTTGCTGTTGAAGCCTGTGCAACTTGTACTTCTGTGCTTTTCAAACAAGTCAAATAACAACCTCCAAGGAAATGAGTGCAAAAGTCATATTAAATATAATTTCATTATTATATACTTGAGATAAACAGTATTTTAGAGTCAGTGTTGTGGAAAGGATTCTGAACTAATTTAAATGTACGAAGTAGGACTTTCTGCATGCTGTTTTCCTGTATTATATGTAAACTTAAATACAGATATCTTGTAGATGTTGCATAAAATATGTAGGCTATGTAGAATATGTAGAATTCTTTGGTTGCAAGTTGTAGGAAAAAAGCTCAAGTTTTAAAATGTGAGTATTTAATCTTACAGTGTTAATGCTGTTTCTTTCTACTTTACATACTGGTATGGTGTATAGATCATTAACCTTGTTTAAAGAATATCTATTCAGAAATAATTGAATGTTTATGGGTACATTTAGGCAAATATAACACCAAAATATTAATTTGTTGTCTTTGTTAGAGATGTTTTGTCTTGTTTGTGAAATACTGCTTGTCCTATGAAGAACATCAAGGCTTTTCCTTCCATTTCCAAACACTGACTGCTGTAAGTCCAGGGCAGCATCTTGTTCTCACGGTTAAGAGAACAATATTTTTAGTTTCATCTCATATTCCTCTGTCTTTTCCCTGCAATACTTCCTTGTTATTTTTCTCCCCTGCCTCATAGTATCCTCAGCTTCTTACAGAATTCTCTCCCTTCTGCTGTTCTGATCTTGAGGCTGATGGAGCTGCCCATTGACTGCAGCCTCGCAGCGGCCAGTTGGATCCAAGCACTTGGATCCAAGGCTTGAAGGTCTCTCTCACTGGGAGCCCCCACGGAGTGCCTCTCGTGTCCTTTTGGTGACTTTGGCCAAACTCATGGGCTGTTACTTTTGAGAACAGAATTTGGTTTAAGTCAGGTGGTGTATTTTAAAGTTTCTTTGGGAGTCTGACAGAAGAAACAAGATGCACGGAAAAGAAATGGCTAGAAATGTAGCCCCAAAGTTTGCTTCCACTTAATCCAGGCTATCACATTTTTGAAGGAAGAACTATATAAAGAAAGTCCAGTTTCTCATTACTTAGATGTTGACCTTCTGACTTTTTTTAGGTTCAGCAGATAGATCGTGTAGTAGAAGTTGTGGAGGAAACTATTAAAGGTAAGCACTACATTTGAAATATTTGTAAGATGTAAGCATTAGCTAGCAGAAATGCTGTTATGTTCTTTACTGACCTAATCTTCGCTTTCTCTTCTAACTGAATGTTTGGACAGTTCTGTACTGTACCATCTGTGCTTAGTAGTCATTTCAGAGATTTTCTGGTAGGAGCTCAGTGCTCTGTTGGATTCATAAGTAAATGATCCTGAGAAGACTTCAGGAGCCCATTTAAGTTCAATCAGTGTAGGTGGATGTAGAGTATTGCTTAAAGTTTCTGTTCCATCTTAATTCAGTGCTCTATCACCACTTTCCTATATTTGGTCCTCTCCTCTTTTCTTTTTTTTCAGATGTTTTGGCTCACTTCCCTGAGCTTTCCTCAGCAGGACAGATAAATTATCCTCTGGTTTAATGTTCTTTTGTAACTGTGTTCCTTGTACTCTTTAGCTGCATTAGTGTGTGTGTACATACAGTGCTTTGCAGTGAAGGGGGGCAAAGGCAGTATTGTTTCTGCAGTCTGACCAGTAAACATTTGCTATTAAATAAATACATTTGTCTGGATCTGTCTGGGTTACCTAAGTTTGTCTCCATTACTTATCAGGCCATAAAAATTACTGTTCCTTGAAGTTTTAAATTACAGGCTTTAGTTTAATTGGCTGTACTTTGAATATAAACAAGTGTCTGCTCTACAATATGTTGCCTTGTAACTTTAATGCTGAAGTATGTTGTTTTGAAGTGCAACATGAAAATGTAAAAAACAGTGTAAAAAAACGTAGAGGAAAAAGTTTCTATTAAGAAACGATGCTGTGTTGTAAGGCTTTTTAGTAAGATTTTTCAGTACTTTGAATGCTTTCAGAAATGAAACATGGACTCTTTATGTACTCCAAAATTTTTGCAGTTCTTCCTTCTGGCATCTGTTTTTATTTTTCTTTCAGCTTATTGTAGAAGAAAGATATTTAGTGCACTCATACTAAATGTGCACAGTTCTTTCCTCAGAAGCATCATGGTGTTCTTCACAATGTGTGATTTTTGCAGCAGCACAGTATTTCGTATCCCTGTCTAATTTTCCTGAATTGCATTTATTCTTAAGGGATTAAGAAGATAACCTGAGTCAGTATGCCCTCCCTTTACAAAAGCGTGCTTTGTAATATTTATACAGATTCATAACATTACTGCTTTTTTTGATGACTCAGCTTCTCAGGTTATTGTGATTGAATATTTTATGACAGGAAAGAAGACGATCAATCTAGAAGCAATTCCAAAAATTATGTTTTTCATTGAATTGATTTTAAGGTTTCATTTTAGATATTGATGAAGTTCTGGGCAATAACGTAGCATAATTTTAATTGACACATAAGCTTTAAATTAAAGTGTAGCTTTTGGGTAAGATTTATGTTCCTTTCTAGCTTAGTGTAAGTGATCAGAATGAAACGGAATGAGTGGGCTGCTGAATTCCATGCATGGTGCCAATTCCTTCAGGGGTTTCTCAGAAGACAATGGAACACGGGATTTCTGAAAAAAAATGAACAAAACCAAAATTTCTATTTGAAAGTGAGGTGACAAATTGACTGCAGTCATAAGGCGTGATAAAGCTTTGCTTTTTCAAAGGCCACTATTAAAACTAGAAGCTTTTACTTCTTTGGTTTTTGTTCACTTCAGTTTGTTTAAGGAGAATGCATAAATTTGTGGACCTGGAAATCACCTTCCATGAATAAAGAAGAATTTGAAGCTCTTTGTCCCCACAGATTATAAATGATTCTAACTTGGAACTTCCATTATCTAAGTAAAATAAAGCAGTTAACAAGGCTATTAGGAATGCTTTATACTGTAAAATAGATCCATGGGAGGGGTTTACGTAAGTCTATGTCAAACCAAATGAAATGTAGTCCCCTTTCTTCTAAAGTCTATGACATTAGTAATAACTTCTGAGGCCCAGGATATCTTGAGGAGGCAGAGGAGGGTATGGTGTGAGACAGTAGATTAAATATAAATTTAGTCTTGAGAGCTGGCATACATTAGGAAGTTTTTAGTTGGATTTTGTCACAGTTATACAATTTCCTTCACCTGTCTTTTTGTAAGAAAATCCAATAGGTTATATGGGTGGTTTACTCTTGTAGTGTGGGTTTAAAACAATTTAACTATTTAAACTGAATAAATTTAAACTGCGTAGTATCTGCACCCTGCAGGGCATTTGTCCCTGCAGATCAGTGTGCCTACACGAGTTATCTGGATGCTCTATGTAGATTCCTTGGTGATCATCAGAGTTGCCATTTCTAAGGTTTGGTTTTCCTTAGGTTCCCATATTTTAAGGACTACTGCAGATTTTTTGTGGACACTTGTGAATTGTGCACTACAAGATACAAAAAGGGAATCTTTAAAAAGAATATATAAACCCCAAACCAAACCTACTTCCCCTCTTCTCTGTTGTGTTTCTTTTTTTTTTTTCATGATTATCATTTTCTTTCTCATTTCCAAAGAAAATGTCTACCCTGTTGGATTTAGTTGAAAGCTTACTGTACTGCTCCCCCAAAATTACTTTTTCAAAATTATTCAAAGCACTTTCTATGAAATATGATGGTGTTTCTTCTTTCTCTGTCTTAAATTCATATTCAGAAAACCCTCTTCAGAATGGGGTCATTGTGCTGATTCAAAAGATGAATTCAAGAAGTAGATCTTCATGTAATATTTACCTTATAGCATAATTACTGGCTCCCAACTCTCCTCTTATTCATAAACACTTTCATCTGACTTTCCCTTTTTGCCTTGTTTCATCAGCAAATGGAGAAGAAGGATGCTCATGTTTCTTTTGGTTGCTAGTGTTATAAGGAACAGAATTCTCAAGAAATGCTGTGATGATTCATATTTATATTATCATGAGTTTTATAAAGAATTCTATGAAACTGTTAAATTATCTCATTATCAAGTAGATTTTGGAACTGTAATTTCCAAATGTGATCTTCTGAAAGAAGTGTGCAGTATTTACATGCAGGTCACGTCTGATTTATGAGGTGTCCTATGATGTATTTTAACTAAAGGCATCTTCAGGTACTTTTTTATAGCTTATATTACCAAAACCTGAAATCTCTGTAATTTCTACTAAGGAAAATCTAGATTTCAAGGAACTAGATGAATGAATTTGATCTCAGCCTTAGAATTAAAATTTTCACAGCGCTATCTGCAGAAATATAGCTGGAGCATGTCAGTGTTTTGTTTCATCATGCAAGGCTTTAATTTAACAGCTAGTGAAACTTGCTTCATCTGCACGTTACCCAAATCTTAAGCCTGAATTGCAGCTATTTTACATCATTGAGGCATCCTATTTCCACTTACATGCTTAGTTTCCTGGTAACATGTTATGTTGGCACAGTATGTTAGGAAAGGACTACTAAGCACTTGCAGTGTCTGAGATAGGAGAAAATTTGATTGCATTTGATGTATGCTCCATTATTAAGTAAGACTTCAGAATTTCAAAGCTGTTCAAGGTATTTGGGAGAAACTTTAAAGTCTTAATGTAGATTTTTTTTTTTTCTTGGTTTTAAATGTTGGGCCCTTACGGATTTGAAGCTTTTTCCACCTTTCATTTTAGACACACTAGCTGCTGAAGCTCATGTTGAAGCTGTCTGGGGGGATGGGGACATGGAACTGGAGCATTTGTATACAATCTGCTTTTAGCTTAGGCCTTAGGGAGATGAGGGGCACAGGTTGAATTGAGTTCAGTCTGTATTGTCTGTCTAGTGTTTTCACAAAACAGAAGTTTACAATGGGTCATTAGATTGATTGTTAAAAACAGCCAAAGGAAATTACTTCAGGGTCAAACCTTTTATACTTCAAGTAACCTTTCTTGATTTCAGTCACGTTGACCTGTCTGGTGAAGTTGCCCATCCATTCCCAGTTTAAACATTAACCAGTATTTACTGTCTATTAAATTGCCCTCATATACTTACTAATTATGTTGTTGTGTCAGTCTACAAAAATGAGCAGATAAATGGTACCTGTCTTGAATATAGACTACATTGCATACCTTGTGTGTATGTATGGAAGCTATATATACGAATGCCAGCATACTAAAGTAGTATTTTTATGTGTAGCTTGTTTTCGTTATAATCCACTGATAACAGTAAATAAAATACTGTCTCCCCCATTTCTGTGATAGTGGGAAGAGTTGCCTTTACTTAAGAAGTTGATGTTGAGCCAAATGAGGAATAAAAATTGTAGGCATCAGGAGTTCTTTTCTGAGAAAAAAATATTATTTGGCTTCCAGTCAGGAAACTGACTTGTTTGTGCCTAATTGCTGTTCGAGGAGGGTCAGAGGGAGGGTAATGGCCTCATTGAGTGCAGGGTTCTGTAATCCTTTGAAAGCACATAGAAAAAGGGGATGTTTTTGGATGGGTTGTTTTATTTATTTCACTGTGTGGTAGGTTGACTTTTGCTGGGTTGTCGTATCCCCACCCAGTTTCCCTCTTGCTCCCCTGCTCTCAGCAGACCAGGGGAGAAATTAAGATGGAAAAGCTATGGGTCCTGGTAAGGGCAAGGAGATTACATACCAATTGCTGTTGAGGGCAAACTAGACATGTGGAAAATTAATTCACTGCCGATTAAAAATAGAGTATGACAGTAAGAAATAAGCACAAAACTAAAAATAGCTTTCCCTCTGCCCCTGCTTCTTCCAGGTATCAGCTTCTCCTCATCAACTTCTCTTCATTCTCTGCTCCTCTCCTCACAGTGGGACGGGGGGAAGGGGAATGGAGGCTATAGTCAGTCCTTAACAGCTCTTCCCTGCCATTTGCTCCCCATATTCCTCTCCTTCAACGCTCTGGTGTGCCATTTTTTGAAGAAATGCTCCAGTATTGATTTTCTCTTAAGTTCTTGACTTGAGAGTGGTGAGGTGCTGGAACAGCTGTCCAGAGAGGTTGTGGATGCCCCGTCTCTGGAGGTGTTCAAGGCCAGGTTGGATGGGGCCCTGGGCAGCCTGGTCTGGTATTATATGTGGAGGTTGGTGGCCTTGC